GAAAGTATGCCCCTATTTCCTTCTTATTATACAGTGTGTTTAATGAGGAACTAGACAGATAGTTAGACAGATACAATATGACAAGTTTTATGTACACATAGCGGGAACCTTACTTTCCTGGGAAACTTTGGAGGAAATTGCAATAGGGCGTTGTATGGTTAGCTGCATTCTTCAATCAATTCAGATACGAAAGTGATACTTCTCATTTTCGAAATAGTTTTGAATTGACGCGTTTTTATGTAGCGGAATACACGAGAGATGTACACGTGTGTGGTCAATTTTTGTTTGACGATATTACAGGCTATTTGGGTTTCATGAGGGTGGCTTCACTCGAAAACATTTGCCGATTTTCGTTTACAAACGAGCGCGCGTGTGTATATGTGTTTGTGAGTGTGCGTGGTATAAAGCACCCTTCGGTCTTCAGCTGGGCGTCAAATAAAGAGTGAGTGAGTGAGTTTAGTTTTATTCCAGCAATATCACTGCGGGGGATACCAGAAACGGGCTTCACGCACTGTACCTATGTGGGAAATCCAACCCGGGTCTTCGGCGTCACGAGCAAACGCTTTAACCACTAGGCTACCCCACCGCACCGTCAAATAAGAGAAGACGTGTGAAAATTATGACAAGTGTTTGCAAACATTTAGTTTGTAGACTGTGACAAACCTTTGGCGAGAAACAATATAGGTGTGAAGTCTAATAAGTCTAACAGATACCAAATGATGTTTGCTTACGTTCTGCAAACTGGCGTCGACGTTTATGAGCGAGCGAGCAAATGAGCGAGTTAGAGATTTCAGCAATATTCCAGCAGTATCACGACGGGGGTACAAAAATTCACTGTTATACCCATGTGGGGAATCGAACCCGGGTCTGCTGGGTGACGATCGAATGCTTTAACCTTCAGGCTAGCCTGCCGATTTGACTCTTGTGGGAGTAGTGAAGAGCAACAATAAATATTTGTCGCATGAAAACCAAAGCCGTCAAACCTTTAGGAGATCACAAGATAAGACATTGTGCATGTAATGCTGCACTACTCACATAAACATACAGGGCGGTGGGGTAGCCTAGTGGTTAAAGCGCTCGCTCGTCACGCCGAATACCCGGGTTCGATTTCCCACATGGGTACAATGTATGAAGCCCATTTCTGGTGTCCCCCGTCGTGATATTACTGGGCTATTGCTAAAAGCGGCGTAAAAATAAACTCAATCAGTCACAGAAACAAGAAATTTATATTTCCCCTGGATAGATACAGTGAATACAAGGTACGGGCTCGATTAATACAACGTTTAATACAAGGTATTTTTGGTAGGAGTGTTTGGTTAAATGTTGGTTATCTGTGGCTTGTGACGAAGACAGATACGTGGAAATAATGAAAGACGGAAGTTAAAACGCGATACACGACAGTGACTACAAGGAACATGTTACTGCTGTAAAACGAGGAAGTATTTGTCCCATTATAAGGTCACATAAACCTCTCCTCTTCAACTTCCTTCGAGCAATATTAATCATCTTGTACAATTCAGTATAATTCAAATAACCAGATTAAACACAGGACAACCCGTGTATATCCTCGTAGTGTCACTGCTGGGTTATGTCTCAGGGTTATATCCCCCAGACAACATACACAGATATTTCTGGGTTCAGTTGTGAATGAGTAATATTTTACGCCGCTTTTAGGAACATTCTAGCAGTATCGCGGCGAGGGACACCACAAATTGGCTTCACACACTGTACCCATGAATCGAACCCCGTCTTTCGTTGTGAGCGAACGTTTTAACTACCATCTATCTACCCACCGCCTTTAGCAGAAGGTAGACCGCCCAAAGTGAAAGGTACTTAAGTTGAGTTTAGGCCTTGGTCTTGACAGTTTAATGATAGTTTTCATAGGTTGAGTAGTAATATTACAAGAACTTTTGTATTTGGTGTCACACGTACAATCCCGTATACTTTTTCTATCAAGGTTTCAAAAGGGCGTCTAACGATTCTTACACAAAGAGTAAATCAAATCCAAGGCTATAGTACCAAAAGGTGTGTAAACAAAACGTTTAACAGTATTTGATAGTGATTAATAGACACATGCTAATGAAATTGTCGAAATCGTACCATCGACACTGCTCTTAGCAGGGATTTCTTGAGGATGTGTAAAGGTTTATTCGTAATTGTTTATTATAGATAAGTAGACATGTATATGGTTTCGATCTCCATCCACGTTTATAAACAAAGGCACTATTTGTTACCCTGCCTGGGGCTCGGCATGACGAGGATGATACGGCTCAGAGTAAGAATATTGAGTCTGAGTAGGCTATCCATGTTAAAATGCAGCATGGCATAATCTCAGTCTTGACCGGTGGAAGCAGACTGACTGACACAAACATACACAACAACAACTATAATAACGACAACGACATTATATTATTGACGACATTAACAATACTAGTAATTTGAAACACAACGTTAAACCCTTGTTTCACCTCAGCTTAAACTTCCCCTTCATGTCTGTGGACTGCTCGATCAGTTTCCGCGTCGTGACTGCGGATATGATATAGAGTAACGGTTTTGTTTGTCACATTTAAAATTAATTCCTGGTTTACCACGATTTCAAATGCAAGCCACGTCGGCCGTCACTAATGTGGACACATACTTATTCCTGTTTCAGATACGGCCTGGAAGTGATATTCATCCTGGTTGACATACAGCGGTGAGCTGAAGTGACGAATAATTTCGTAGTTTCTATCATACGTTATGTACAAGCTCCTGTACAAAACACCCCTACAGCCTTGCTCGTGGGAACGTTGTACACCCTTCATTATGAGTGAGTGAGTTTAGTTTTACGCCGCTTTTAGCAATATTTTAACAATATCACGGCGGGGGACACCAGAAATGGACTTCACACGTTGTACCCATGTGGGGAATCCAACACGGGTTGGGCCTGACGAGCGAACGTTTTAACCACTAGGCTACCCCACCGCCCGCCTTCAATATGGGGAACGCCTGTATTACTGAAAACAGCTATAGAACAATGTCGGGTACGTCAGGATTGGCTCCGTCGGTGCTTGTGTAAACAGTGCGGCTTATGACGGTTGTTTTCATAGAAAACGCTCTTGAGAACAAGCGAGTGATATCAGCATTGTGTTGAATATTTCTAAGAAATGCAGATATCCGTACTACAGAACTAAAAGAATTTTTTTGAACGAACTGCATCTGTACCAGAATGTGAGTAAGACATTAGTAATATACGGAGACGATGTTTATGAAAATGGCGACATTTATTGGCGTAAAGGGATCTTGTTCGGTCCCCAAGCAGCCCTTAATGCATCCTAACTGACAGTACCATCAGGGAGTTAGGTCATACCACACATATCAGATTCTTGATGGGGTCCATGAGCAATTTACCTACGACCTCAAGACGGCTGTGCAGACGCAGTATCAATTGTAAACCGTAATTAATTAATTCTAATGTCCAGCTACACGCGGGAACCTGGTTGTAGAGGCTTGTTGATCTTGCTGACCTTGGAATGTTGAGGTGAGTGGATTATCAGGCCATTGTCATCGACACTGCGAGTTTTCGAACACAGTGACTGATAAAAATGGCATGGCACACCACAAGTCTCGTCTTCCTTCGTCGCTGTCCTCGATGGAGTTTTCCCACAATATGCCAATGAAAGAAATCCAGCCTCGCCATTGGCTGGTTGCCATGGCTTCCTCGATGGGCAGCCAATCAGAGGCTGTGGTGGAAAATGACTGGATGTCCAGCCGAACCTTATACAGAATGTTCATTGTACATGGCTACCACTAACGATCTACTTCCTTATTTAATCAATAGACTGGCAAAGTCACAAACAGGGATATTCTTGGAACAGGAAGCAAATTACATTGCAAATTTTGCGCTGCTCAAGAAGTTTAACTCATTTCTCAGAAGGTATATATCGTGATGTAGTGTGTGCTAAAACGATATGACATATAACATAGCACGAACTGTACACTGAATACTAAAATACTGCAGTGGATATCGTACAACTGACTATTTTAAAGGTGAAAGCCCTAAACGAGATTCTTTCTTTCGCTCACGGTTAAGTGAAACTATTCTTTCACTAAAGATTTGCTCTAAATATTTTCACTTATTTTCACAATAAAACTAAATCACTGCATATGAAATGTGAAATATCACGTATATTAAACAACAACGGCTGGTTAAACCAGGAACAATAATTTCAATGACCGAAAACGGTATCTCAACAATTTCATCAGGACAAAAAAGCACTAGAAACAATACATTAACGGGATCTGGTTCATCATAACGTTTGTCAACCTTTCAGCATTTTCAACGCCAGCAGTATCACTAGGGACGTCATTACACTCACAAAAATATTTGAGCAACACTTAGCAAGTTTCAACAGTTCTAATACCGTACAACAGCTCACACTGACCGAAACGTTTCAGGCAAACCAATATCAAATTACTCAAGGAGATAACACCATCCGAAATGACAGGTAAATTGTACTTTACAGCTGTTCAACATGAGCAAAACATATCATACCTTCACCATAAGCCTTGTAGTAGAGAAGACCAGAGGCAGCCGGGTAGAGGTCGAGACAGGTAGAGATGCGGCAGGTTTGACTCCTAGTCCCAGCGTATCGTCGTCGGCCAGTGTGTCCTCGTGTCCAGGCCAGGACCTACTAAAGACCCCAGGAGGGCCAGCGACTTTTATACACCTAGCAGCCAATGGGGTGCCCATTCTTTTATTTCCCGGTCACTTTATCAATTTTCCTTAATTTCGAGTATCAGTGAGGAAGAAGGAAACTAATAGCCTGTGAGCTTTCTGTGCAGCGACATCAACAAGGATAAAGCTATATTTTGCCGGGTTAGCTCATGTGAAGTCAGTATTTGGGAGGAAATAATATATTATTTTTATCCCGTAGTTTTGAGGTGGGTGTTTATCATTGGTCAGTTTTATATTTTAACGCCCTGTGCGGCAGATACATATCTCTGGGTCACGTGAGACTTTCATTCTGACCCGAAACGGCTTCGATACACGTTGTCTACAATGCGTGAAGATATCAACTGTGGACATGAAAGATGTTTCAATATACGTTAAATGCTGAAAATATCGGTCTCCTTGCAGAGGTAAGTTCGCACGGTGATGTGAGAATTTCATTTGAAATAATTCAAACTTATGTAAAAGAACAAAACAAAATATATTTTAATTTCATCAAATGAAACTGTTATTTTTAGAGCTCTGATTTTACTTTGGTGTTAGACATATGTGAAGTATTAATAATTATTTAACCCTTGATATTTTGAGATGTTGACAAACATATCGATGTAAAATTAAGACTTGATATGATGAATGTTTTGTTCGTTGTGGAAATAGTATTTCAAATTGTGTAAGACTGTACATATTATTCCTGTTGATTGTAGGTTGGCAGGGGAGACACTGCATGGGGTTGACGCTGTAACCGGCTGTAAGGAACACGGTTCTCTTTCCATAGTTCGCACGGTTATCTGAAATCAAACTATGTTCAACTCGTGCAAGTTCGTCGCGAGACCCCCGAACTTTAATTAACTACCTTGTGGGGACATAGGGAAATATATTTTAATAAAATGTTTTGAAGGATCGGTTTTAGTTAGGAGTGGGCTACATTCTTCACTCGGGTTCACGGCGATAGTGGAGGGTCGGCAAGTTGATGATATTCACTGCCTGGGAGATAATTGCTGCAGCGTTTCATTAAGGCTTACTGCAAATCAGGAACAAATCTTAGTAATATCTAACACGTTTTGTTTATGCGTTATGACTAATTATGCCTGAAACTTGAGCATCCGTACCGCGAATTCGCACTTGAAAATGCCGTAAGACCGCCATACTTGCTTCTGATCAGCCATGATGCACTGTGCTAACGCTAAATTTACCAGGACTACGCTGTTCGGGTGGTATGCACTTGGAAACACTTACATATAAACAACACGCTTGTTATTGCGGAGGAAAAATAAAAATATTTGCATCTGGCGTATTTGAGTTCGAAACATCGGAATTAAAAAACTCAGATATGTATATTTAGAAAATGAACTCAGTTCGTGTGTGAAGAGATGTAATTTAATGTGGTTGATTTTGCACTGAATTACCAGCAATATCAACATTCACAGACCACGACTTTCCATCTTCAGTGGAGAGAGACATCATAACATATTTACATCAGAAAGTTGTAGATTGCTGAAATATCGTTTTAATTTTTTGACAACTTCAGATAGAATTTCGAAATACAACCCCCTTGATGTGAATTTAAAAAAAACAGTTAGCGTTTTACATCTCATTTGTATAGCCACAATTGAATATCCTAAAAACATTAACCGACAGTCACGACATTTTTGTTATCTGGCTTGGCCGGCATGGTCGAAATTGTTGCGTGACAACTGATCATGAGGTGTGACATGTCACTGTATGCTGATTACAGTGTCACGTTGACCTACCTGGGTTATTTATTAACATAATATACATCCCTTATGTCTCATATTTCTCGTAACTGTCTGTTACAGAATCAGTTGAATCATCCGTTAATTCACAATGAGCCTGTGTCAAGTGGATATTTCCTTTGTATAGAGGTCATTAAGTTCGTATGGGATAACAGATTTTCTATTCAATGAAACGGAGCCAGTCGCATATGCAACAAACCGGATTGGGATTAACTAGAATCCAAAATCTGATTCTATAAATATGTAAAGGTAATAAAATAAGCTGTTTACTTCGAAAATTGTTTTCGTGCACAGAATGTCCAAAACATCCAATACATTATTTATGATTAATGTATATCTTTCAACAAGTTTGAAATTTCAAAAGTTCATAAATGGACTTACCTTGCGCGACGGTATGTCGAGGTGGGGTTATGTCTTGTGGGTGCCGGGATGAGGGGGTGCCAGACGATGAGCCGTATCCACAGACACTGTGAGAACCACACACAGTTCCTGACGGATAGGGCACAACGTGAGACACAACGCCATTTTAAAAACCATTTGAGATTTGAACATGCGCAGTCTTCACTTCCGGTGGGTCTCCATCTTCTTAATTTCAACATGGCGACAGACAATGAATTTTTAAAGCATCACACGCAATGATGAAGTCAAAGTCATAAAAGAAAAAAACACAAATTGTTTCCTCAGTGAACAGCAATGCCATTGAGACTTTCTCCCACGGTGTCTGGCGAAGTACTCCGCGAAAAAGGCACGGAGCTCTGGTCATACCCCTATTTAAATAATGCAGGCTTATTTTGTTGAGGCATTTACAAAGCTGGTTGTCGATTGGCTCAGAAGTAGAGCAAGCATGCTTCCTGTGAATGGCTTCCCAAAACGGAATTTAGGATGGGCCAATCCTCTAGAGTTGGTCAGCTGTAAACCGCAAATCTAGCTCTAAGAATGACAGGCCTGGTCTCGCCCTGAGTTAGGACAAAAACGTTTCGCGCGCCCGTGCGGGCTGGCGTCTGTGTATCCAGAGGTATTAGTCATTCATCATTCTCCAATCTGGAATACCTGTGGTTTTCCTGTTGCCATTACCCGCGACGTTATATGAGCTGCAAGAATATTATCTTCTTAACATCCAAACTGATGACCAATACAGCCATATCCACCCACCACCGTTCAAGTCCGCGCGATGGTACCATGACCATATACTTCTGTAGATCAGCACCTTCCTGACCAATAAGGTCACTCCTTGTCCAGACCAGATGTAATTACGCCTTCCCTTCTTCCAAAAAGACGTCAATAAACACACAGGCACACACACAGATATATACCTACACGCGCGGATATTTGCAGCTCTCTCCTTCAAGGTCGTGTATTTCTGTGGAGTTAGTCATCCCTGGAAGTCATCGTTTGCCAGACCTGCTATCATCTAAGCCTTCAACAACATCCCCATGATTAATAACACACTTCCAGTAATGATTAGCCTAATTATAAGCAGTTTTGTTCATCCAGAATGATATTACGAGTTCCAGTTGTTACATAAATAATGAGCGTATGTTTCATCTTGTGAAGCACTTTTTTTGGACTGGATCCTCACAAGGGTTTACAAGCTGGGGAACAGAAGACAGACAGTAACACCCAGAGCATCCATTTGCCGGTTCTTCAACAAGAATGTAACACACACATATATGATGCTGTATGCAATACGAGCCATTGTAAAAAATATTCAATATCATTAAATGGATAGGTTGGGTTTTTGAAGTTACGATGGATGTAGAATTCAACGTTTGATGAAGTCCATTAATCAACCCTCATCATCGTAAATTTACACAAAAATTATTTAGAAAATGCAAATAAGCAAAAGGAAAAATTGCACATCTACGTTGGAATACGTCGATGGCTTTCCCTATTAAGGTAAACCTTTATGAATGTATGACCGGAAGAGTGCATGATACAATATCTCCGGTGTTATCGTATATACGAGGCGTTAATCTGAAAACAGGTAATCATGAATCATCGACGGCAAGATTCAAGTTAATAAAAACATTTTAATGTAAATATAAAATTCTGAGAGAAGTCGTTTGGCCTCAAATATGAAGACATGTTCCTGCAAAACCTGTGATGAAATATTCACGAAAAATATTCTACTTCCAACACAAATGATATCAGTCCATTTCGCAGAATAGTTTTCTCAGGGCTCAATTATTAATTGAACGTCGCTACTCACAATAACAAAGTATTATATTCCGTTTCGTTTGAATTTGGTATCTTGTTTACATCATTCATTTAAGAAACGGCGTATATATTCTTTTATACGAGTTACAAGTCTGTTTCTATCATTCAGAGATAATTTTGAAACAGCCCGGTTGGTGCAGAGTATTCCGTTCAAGTCATGAATCATTGATACTACTGTTACCGTCAAAGTAAATGATCCCTTCTCCTGCACCGCTGGAATCGAAGCGTATTTATAACTCTCCCTACTGTATACTACGAAGGTGAAACGACTAACACAATCGGAATCCGGGACCTCTCGGGACAGCTCCCGAAATAACACACACTTATCCTTAGTACCAAAAAACAGCAAGTTTTCTGTCCATATGTAACTGTTGATTTGCGTTTTGTTGTAGCTCGTTGGAAATAATAAAATATGTGAGAAATATGCAGAACTCGAGTCACACCTAAAAACGGAAGTTGAAAATTAATAAAACAGTTGAAACTAATAAAATAGTTATGACATGTTCATGGGCAAATAATCTATGATTACCTAAAATTGTACCTGAAAACATTGATTCTGAAAATTGCGTTTATTATTTCAGATTGCTTTGTAACAATGAGTGAGGGAAAATTGCGATACTTTATACGGTGTATTAAAAATCAAGACAATTCTAAGTCGAAGCCATAATTATTTCCTAATAATACGAATGAATATTCTTCGCATTTTCCAAAAATTTTCAACAAAACAGTACCTAACACATTCAGCCTTAAGATAGGTGTGAAATTGTCAGCATTTCTATTTTATTACGTTTTGTATGACCACGAAATGAATATTGCAAAATGGATATTGGATAAATACCTCAGATATGTTACGAATGTGTATTCTTCAAAGAACGTACAAATAGCACAGACAATACGGGTAACTTTTCCGGCCGGTATAGGAATATTTAACACTTGTCGTTTATGGAAAGGTTTTTCAATACTACAGAACTGTCAAACGCACTCATGATTATTTAGTTGTAACTTGTCTATCGTCAGTAAGTTCCATGTCTGATGCAAACTAAAAAAACAAACATAAATGAAAATTATTACTTGACGCCGTCTTTAGCCTGATTAAAATATAAAATATAAATTCAGAAAATAGACTATATTTGTAAGAGCGTATATTTTGAATTTATGTCACCAAACGAAACACACCAACCGTTCCAACAAAAGAGGATTGGTACAAAAAATTAGCAAGGAGGGAGTACAACAAGGATTTTAAAAACATACATCCTTAAATGTTTGATTTGAATAGCTGTGCGAAAATAGGGGAAGGGTATTAATTTGTTCTACAGTCCCCGTATTTCTTAAGACTTATTGAAAGACAGCCATCCATGAAAATATTTCAAGAATAACGCGCCATGCAACAATCGCACGATTTAGATATTTCACATCGGGATTTTTCTTCTTCATGAAATTCCATACCTGAACACTTTCTGTTTTGCGCTCTAGAAAACGCAAATATTCGCTATAATGCATTTGTTTCAACACATCTCCATTTTGTTCTATTTCACATTTAAGGGTAAGTGGGGAAACACGCAGTTTACTTTCTCTCGTTTGTCGTTGTCATGTTCAAAGTACTTATGTAAATACAACGATCCAGAGCTCTTTTCGATATACTACCTGGAATTCACCCGTACAAAAGCGATCGTTTGTCGAATGATCGTAAGCAACAAACGATTTAAAAGTAAAACATTTTGTTTATAAGGTTACTTCTTTCATTTTCAAGGTAATATCGAGTAAAGGTGATAAACTACACCATGTAACTTTTGACATTATCCATTTTCATTCCCTGCAAGAACAGAACAGCATGGAATGAAACCAAAATTTAACTTATGAGTTATATGTGTTTTCTTCGAAGAACAATTACAACAAATTAAACAAAAATATTTCTGAAACTATTTTTCTGA